TACTACTTACATTTTGTACCTCTGCAGCAATTTTGTTTCTTTCTGCAGCAATTTCTTTTTTTGGACAATTTTCAAGTAAACATTTGCTTTGATCCCCCCTCCTCCTACACGGAGAAAAATGGAAAAATGATTTATGCAGTCAGTGTAGTACCCCGCGTGGAAATGTTATAATGGGTAAAATCTAATGAACATTATATAATGTTCATTAGAAAATGAAAATTCATTAGAAAATGACATAAGGCTGGCGACACCTTAGGAAAAGGTTTCAAGAAGCAAGTGCCAACGTTGGCACAAGACTAGGACAAGAAAAGCGCCACCCTTGCTTATGAAAGTTTCCCAGGCCATGGGAAAGGCTTGTTATTTACCATGGCTGAAGATCTTTGAATTTTTTTTAAGTTTTATAAAATTGCCAACCGCGGGACAACCCTGGGATCAGTTTTTTCCATTTTTTTCAATTTTTTTAAAATTTCAAACTCCAGGACTACCCTGGGACAAGATTTAGCCGTCCTTAAGATGACTAAAACCGTGGCTGAAGAACTTTGCATTTTTTTTACATTTTCCATCCCCGGCACAACCCTGGGACAAGATTTGGCCGTTCTTAAGATGGCTAAAACCGCGGATGAAGAATTTTAAATTATTTTTCAACTTTTTTACATTTTCCAACCCTGGGAAAACCCTGGGACAATATTTTACCGTTCCTAAGGTCGCCAAAAACGGTGGCTGAAGAACTTTGACATATTTTTGCTTTTTTTAAACTTTGCCAACATTGTGACCTGGGACAAGATTTGGCCGTCCTTAAGAAAACTAAAACCGCGGCTGAAGAACTTAAAATTTTTTTTACATTTTCTATCCCCGGCACAACCCTTAGACAAGATTTGGCCGTTCTTAAGATGGCTAAAACCGCGGCTGAAGAGTTTTGAATTATTTTTCAATTTTTTTACATTTTCCAACCCTGGGAAAACCCTGGGACAAGATTTTACCGTTCCTAAGATCGCCAAAAACGGTGGCTGAAGAACTTTGAGATATTTTTGCTTTTTTTAAACTTTGCCAACATTGGGACAACGCTGGGACAAGATTAATCCGTCCTTAAGATGGCTAAAACCGCGGCTGAAGAGTTTTGAATTATTTGTCAATTTTTTTTACATTTTTCAACCCCGGCACAACCCTGGGACAAGATTTTGCTGTTCCTAATGTCGTCTGAAACGGTGGTTGAAGAATTTTGAATTTCTTTTTAATTTTTTACATTTTCCAACTCCGGAAAAATCCAGGGTGAAGCCTGGGATAAGATTTTGCTGTTCAGAAGGTCGCTAAATCCGCGGCTAAAGAACTTTGAATTTAAAATTTTTCTTTTTACTTTTTCCAACCCTGGGACAACCCTGGGACAAGATTTGTTCGTCCTTAAGATGACTAAAACCATGGCTGAAGTACTTTGAATTTTTAAAATTTTTTTTTACATTTTTCAAACCTGGGACAATCCTAAGACGAGATTTGGCCGCCCTTAAGATGGCTAAAACCGCGGATGAAGAATTTTGAATTATTTGTCAATTTTTTTTACATTTTTCAACCCCGGCACAACCCTGGGACAAGATTTTGCTGTTCCTAATGTCGTCTGAAACGGTGGTTGAAGAATTTTGAATTTCATTTCAATTTTTTACATTTTCCAACTCCAGAAAAATCCAGGGTGAAGCCTGGGATAAGATTTTGCTGTTCAGAAGGTCGCTAAATCTGCGGCTGAAGAACTAGGAATTTAAAAAATTTTTTTTTAATTTTCCAAACCCTGAAACAACCCTGGGACAAGATTTGTCCGTCCTTAAGATGACTAAAACCGCGGCTGAAGAACTTTAAATTTTTTTTACATTTTCCATCCCTGGGACGAGATTTGGCCGTCCTTAAGATGACTAAAACCGCGGCTGAAGAGTTTTGAATTATTTTTCAATTTTTTTACATTTTCCAACCCTGGGAAAACCCTGGGACAAGATTTTACCGTTCCTAAGATCGCCAAAAACGGTGGCTGAAGAACTTTGACATATTTTTGCTTTTTTCAAACTTTGCCAACATTGGGACAACGCTGGACAAGATTTGGCCGTCCTTAAGATGACTAAAACTGCGGCTGAAGTACTTTGAATTTTTTTTCATTTTTTTAAACATTTTCCAACCCTGGGACAACCCTGGGACAAGATTTTGCTGTTCCTAATGTCGTCTGAAACGGTGGTTGAAGAATTTTGAATTTCTTTTCAATTTTTTACATTTTCCAACTCCGGAAAAACCCAGGGTGAAGCCTGGGATAAGATTTTGCTGTTCAGAAGGTCGCTAAATCCGCGGCTGAAGAACTTTGAGTTTTTAAAATTTTTTTTCCAACCCTGGGACAACCCTGGGACATGATTTGGCCGTCCTTAAGATGACTAAAACCGCGGCTGAAGAACTTTGAATTTTTTTTACATTTTCCATCCCTGGGACAAGATTTAGCCGTCCTTAAGATGAATAAAACCGTGGCTGAAGAACTTTGCATTTTTTTTACATTTTCCATCCCCGGCACAACCCTGGGACAAGATTTGGCCGTTCTTAAGATGGCTAAAACAGCGGCTGAAGAGTTTTGTATTTTTTTTATTTTTTTAACATTTTCCAACCCTGGGAAAACCCTGGGACAAGATTTTACCGTTCCTAAGGTCGCCAAAACGATGGCTGAAGAACTTTGACATATTTTTGCTTTTTTTAAACTTTGCTAACATTGGGACAACGCTGGGACAATATTTGGCCGTCCTTAAGATGGCTAAAACCGCGGCTGAAGAGTTTTGAATTATTTGTCAATTTTTTTACATTTTTCAATCCCTGGATAACCCCGAAAAAACTCTTGGATAATACTTTGCCGTTCAGAAGGTGGCTAAAACCGCGACTGAAGAGCATTTAATTTTTAACATTTTTTTTACATTTTCCAACCTCGGGACAACCCTTGGATTCCTTGGGACACGATTTTGCCTCCCTTAAGATGGCTAAAACCGCGGCTAAAGAACTTTATTTTTTTTTAATTTTCTTCTCATTTTTCAATTTGCGAGAAAACCCTGGAAGAATATTTTGCAGTTGCTAAGGTCGCTACAAGCGGTTGCTGTAGAACTTTGATTTAAAATTTTTTTTTTTCATTTTCCGACCCCGGGACAACCCTGAGACAAGATTTGGACCTGCTTAAGATGGCTAAAACCGCGGCTGAAGAACTTTGAATTTTTTTACATTTTCCAACTCCGACACAACCCTGGGACAAGATATTGCCATTCCTATAGTCTCTAAAACTCTGGCTGAAGAACTTTCAAATTTAAAAAAAAAATTTAAATTTGGCAACCGCGGGATAACCCTGGGTTTAAATTTGCCGTTCTTAAGGGGGTGTCAAAGTCGATGCGATTTTCCCATTGAAGCTCAATGCAAAAATCCAATCGACTTTGACACCCCCTTAAGGTCACTAAAACTTGGATCTTTGAGTTTTTTAAATTTGTCAACCCGGGCATGACCCTTACAAAAATAACGGCTGCAATTTTTGGCAAAAAAGCAGTTTTGAATATGTAATAAATTAAATGATTTTAATTATTCTTTTTGCTTTTAAATTTCAATAAATAAAAAACGATTCTGTATTCTTTCATTTTATTTGATTATATTTAGATGTCAGTGTTAAGATCATTTTTTTGAAATAGATTATAAATCTTTAAAATATTAGTATTCAATTCATTATTTGGCAAACTTATATTTGAACAACCGATAATTTTATTATAGCATTTCTCTTTAGTTTGTAAGCAGATTTTATTTTTCCATTTAAAATGAAATACGTCTATAATAGATTTTGTGCGTAAGTAATTTTTAAACATTTTTATGTTATAAAGACAAAAATAAATGAAACAATAAATGAAAAAAAAAACTGAAAAAAAACTTTTATAAAAACTTTATAAAAATTAATTATTTAAACAAAATTAAAGCAATAAGAATTAGGATTAAAAACGTCAATTATGGCGCGATTTAGTCAATTTCGGCGCGCCAATTACGGCGGGGAAAATAACGTGTATTTAGAGGTTGTGTTGCGCGCCATAACTGGAGCACGCACATTCAATGAAAATGTGCCAATTATGGCGGGGCACAATTTTTGTACTTAAATAATTAAACCAATAATAGTTCAAATGTGTTTTTTTTTCGTACAATTATATCGAGTAAGGTCGAAAATAACTTTTTCTATCATTTTCAAATAACTATACTATTCTAAAATAGTAAATAATTCTATTTTTTACAAAGTCGCCATAATTGGAGCACCCGCCACAATTGACACACTTACCCTATAATAGAATTAAATTTTTATAATTTTTAAAAAATTGAATATTAAAATTAATTTGTGGTCATTATTACTCTTTTTTCTCCCACAAATTTTATGACTAATAATAATTTTTTTTATCAATTCTGCGTAAATTTGAGCAGTAAAGCATCTTTCATAGTCGTATTCTTCCTTTCATTCTTTGTCGCACTATGAGCTCTTTGTATTGGGGTGAGCAGACAGTTATTAAATGATTCTTGCACGGATATTACTAGTGGAATGAAAAATGACACCGAAAGAATTATTGAAATTTTGACTAAAGTTTAAAAAATAAAAAACAATTTGAGTTGAAAGAATGTTAAAATTTGTTTAAGGCAGCTACGTCCACACTTTGAAAGAAGTTTTCGATTTTTTGAATTTGTGCTGTCAATCAAGCATTGTCATTTTCAACGACACGGGAGCTGTAGCTTGTCTGATGCCTTAGTCCAGAGGCTGCTTAATCTTCTGCTTTTCGTTTTTTACGTTTTGATTCACTGTCACTGTTAGAAAATAAATTTCTTTTTAAGACATACAATCAATTTTATGGGTACTCTACTTTATTTTGTTCAATTTTCTCTCAATAAATTGTAATATTTGCAAAGTAAAAGATTTCTTTATATTTTCATTAAATTTTTTATTTAATAATTAAAAATAATATTTAAAATATTTCTTCTGATTTATTGTCATCCTTATTTGTGACTTCTTTTCCTTGTCCAGTTGTTTCCTTCAATTTGTCGCTGTTCTTAGTATTGGTGTCGGTTTTTTTAGGGTTTCTTAGTGTACAACATTGGTTATTTAAGACATCCACGTACTTTTCCCACGGATATACATAGCCTTTCGCCTTTGTCTTCTTTTGCACATATGCTATATAGAATTTTTTTAAAGTTAGTATGTATTTGAAGGTTCTACTTTTATCGATTCGAGACTTAATTAAAACAATTTTAATTGAATTTCTCTGAAGAATTCAATTATTTTTAAGTATATTCATAAAACCCAATTATTTTCTTAAATTTTAATAAAATATTCGAAACAATTCAACTATTTTTTATAAATACTCAAATTCTTTGCAGAAATTCAATTCTTTTCAAAAAAATCTTAATATAATTCCTCAAAAGAATCTTATTGTTTTTAAAAATTTACATAAAATTAAATTATTTCGTAAAATTGTAATTTGGTATGTTTTTTGGACATTTTATAATTTTTGTTGTAATTATTTGGACCCAAGGCCACAATCAAAAGCAGTAAAATTTTAATAAATTCTTCAAAATAATTAAATTATTTTTATAATTTACTAAATTCTTTGCAGGAATTAAATTATTTTTAATCTAATTTAAATAAAATGAAACGAAAGAATTGAATTATTTTCAAAATTTGCATAAAATTCAATTTCAACAAGAATTTTAACTTCTCTAAAAATAATTCTTTACAAAAATTCAATTATTTTCTAAATTCAAATCTCAAGAAATGTCACACGAGAAGAGACATTGTTACTTCATGGAGATTTTGTCATTGAATTTCTCGAAAGAATTTAATTATTTGAAAATATTTCTATAAAATTCTTTAAAAAAATTCAATTATTTTCTAAATTTTTCATAAATTCTTCAGAACAATTCGATTATTTTTATTAATATAGATTATATATTAATTTAACATTTATTATATCAGTAAACATATTTCTTTATCAAGAAAGCATAAATAAATTTAGTAAAAAGTCAAAGATAAGTCAAGAAAAATTTTTTGGCAACCCTTGTTAAACACCCTGGTTAATCATAACTTATAAATATACGCACCATACACAGCATTTCGAATTTCCGGCGGGATCGGGTTGCCTTCTTTTCCAAGGGCGGTCATGGTCTTTAGTTTTTCGGCTCCCACTAAAGTTAGCATTAAACGCCTAATCATTTCTTCCGGACGTTTTTTGAATCGCGTGAATTCTATTTCATACTTTGGGTCGATGAACAACTCGCTATTCACAACCACCGCTATTGATGATAAGGATGGTGTAGATTATGTTGCTTGTGAAATAGTATTTTCACTCGATGATACGTTAGCAAACTATATTTAAGGAGGGTTAAATGCAGTTTAATACTTAGATTGTTTAAAAACAAATATAAGTTTCTATTATAAAAATGACTAACTGGATTTTTTGTTGCATTTTCATGCAATTTTTGTTGTGCCTAAATTGCTAACTGGCCAAGGAATGCGACTATTTCTGGAGTTACTAAAAAAGAAATAACAATATCAGTTACGAAATATTATTCTACTTTGAAATATGAAATATATTGAAACAGTAGAATATATATATTGACATAATAATATAACCTTGTGGGAAAATCAAATTCATAAATTCTGGCACACTCGGTGAAGTCTTAGAGCTATCAGCATTTTGTTCTTCCAGAGGAAAACTTCCATCTATAAAAATTTATTTCGATTAATTATATAAAAACAGGGTGTCTAACGGTTAGGAAAGTCATAGAAAAATCAGGGAATGTCAGAGAATTTCATTCAAAGTTAGTGAAATTTCTATAAACTTATACAAAAATAAAAAATTTTTAAATCCAACAAATCTTAAAAGATTTATATTACCGTTTGTTTCTATTATTAGATATTAATTTATTCTTAAATATGTCAGTTACCATATTTTTGTCTTAAGAAAGCAGATATAAAATTAGTAACAAGTTAGGGAAAATATGAGAGGAAAAGTCAGGGAATTTTTTTCTCAATCCTTCTTAGATATTTTAAGAAATAAATTATGGAATACTTGTTACAAATAAATTTTTCATTTGTGATATGAAAAAGTTATTTAATAACTATAGAGTGTATGAATGTTCCGTGATAATTATAACATTAACGAAAAATTATGGGTAGGAAAAAATCTAAATTTTGTCCAAAAAAAAATAAATACAAATTATTTTGTGACAATCCTGATTTTAAAACGGGCTTCAATCTTTAAATATTTTACTTATTACCATTCAAAACAGTTCTTTTTGCAGCTCTCGGTACGGTGATGTCTTCAGTCATCTCATCAGCACTCTCACCAGCAGATTCAATTGGTACTGTTTTCCTCGCACTGCGATTTTTTTTCGGAGACATGTCACCTGAAAAATATTTCTTTAAGTACCTTTTAGCTGTGAGGGGATTAAAGAATTAGAGAAATTATTGTCTTTTTTAATAAATCATTGTTAGTAAAAATTGTTATCTATATACAAAATAATGAATTTCTACCTTTAATAATTGAAATAATTTGAATTTAACATCTAATAATATTTAAATTAATTTAAATTCAGGTGGATTAAATTTAATGTTTATTAATAATTTGGCTTACCATAGGTCAATGAATTTTAATCATCACGAGAATTTAATTATTTCCAAAAGTAATACAATTTTTCATATATATTTAAAAATTCTTGTCACATTCCAATTATCTTTATATAAAAAGCAAAATTCTTCTCAAAATTCAATTATTTTAAAAAATTTTAAAGAAATTCGCAGCAAAATTCCAAATATTTAAAAAAATTTTCTTAAAACTTAAATCAATTCAATTATTTTAAAAAAATTTTAAAATTTTACAATAATTTAATTATTTAAAGTAGAATTTGCATAAACTCTTTCGAAAAAATAATTTGTTTAAATTTTTTATAAATTTCTTTATAAAGTTATTCTTAAGAATTTTAACCATTTTAATTTTAACAAATAATAAAATTTGGAACAAAATTACAATTATTTTCAGTACAATTTTAATTGACTTCCTTAAGGGCATTTGAAACATTATGACGTCACAATTTGTGCAAAACATGTATTTTAAAGTTGTGACGTCATAGAGGCTCAAATGCCCTTAAAAGAATTCAATTATTAAAAACTTTTTTTATACAAATTTTTATAAGAATTTTAATAAACATTCAATTTATATTGTACCTTTCGCAACTTTTTTCTTCTTTGTACCAGATGACACCTTTAAATCTCCAATATCATCACTGTCATCAGAATCAATATCCATTTTTTCTTCACTCTGAACAGGAAGATTCTTCTTTCCAGGCACTATAAATTTAAAAATTTTCTTTGGTTTACAATTAAATTTTACAATTAAATTTTAAGAAATGTTGACTATTTGGTAGTTCTTTAATAAAACATGAAATAATTTTAAAAATTTAGATTAATATTTTTCAACAAAATTTCAGAAAATTTCAATTAAAAGTATGAAACATTCACATTTTCAATGCTTTTAAGTTAAAATCTTTACAAAATTCAATTATTAGTAACTCCTTAAAATTTGATTATGATCTAAAATTTTAACTAAAATTCATTTTTGAAAGAAAAAAATTCTACAAAAAAATATTAGAAAATTTTATACGGGAATTCAACTATTTAAATATAAAGATAAATAATTTACTAAATAATTGAATATTTTTTAAAATTGGATTATTATACATAATTTTATCAGAAATTTATGAAATAATCGAATTCTTCTAACGAATTTTAATAAAATTTTTAAGAATAATTACATACTTCGCGGAATTCGAGTAAAATAATAGATATACAAATTATTGAATTAAGAAAAATTTTTAAAAACAATTGAAATTTTGTAATAAATTTTATGAAAATTTTTTAAAACAATTCAATTTTATTAATTTTAAAAATAATTTAGTTCTTGTAATGAATATTGTTAGTCATGAAAATCAATGACTTCCTTTAAATGATTTTATTATTAGATCCCTTAAGGCGGTGTCAAAGTCGATGCAATTTTCCCTTTGAAGCTCAATGCAAATATCCAATCGACTTTGAAATCCCCTTAAAGGAAATTTAAAATTAATGAAAATAATTTAACTATACTACGAAGAATTTAATGCCAAATTAAATAAATTTTATTTAATTTATGCAAATTATATTTTTACTAAATGAATTCCTATAAAATTTTTATTAAATTATTAAATATTCGTGCAGAATTTTACACAGTGCAACACATAAAATGTGCACTAAGTTTTGACTTCAGTTTCTGAAAGTACTTATCGAAACTAGCAAAAACCTATTTTAGTTTTGCTAGATTAGCTCGGATTTGAATTTTATCGACATTTGAATTTTTTTGAATTTTCACATTTTTCAGTTTTCTGATACGGGCGGATGGGAACACTGGCTATTAAAAGTTTATTAAAAAAATTCGCAATGGTCACAATTTGAAAAGCAATAATCCCTCTTTAATTACAGAGAAAGAAAATAAAATTTGGTCAAAAATTGTTGGAGTTATGAATTTTTTTTTGACTTTTTCAAATTTTTCGGTTTTTTGATAAAGCGGGTGGAAACGCTGGCTATTAAAAGTTTATAAAAAAAATTCGCAATGGTCACCATTTGAAGAGCAGTAATTCCTCCCTAATTTCTGACATTGAAAAAAAAATTTGGTCAAAAATTGTTCGAGTTATGATTTTTTTTCGTATATTTTCAAATTTTTCTTGTTTTTGATTCGGGCGGGTGATAATGCTGGTTATTAAATTTTTTAATAATATATAATTGTAAAATTGGTTATTGAGCAATCCGGTCACATTTTGGAGAGCAATACTTTCTCTTTAATTTATGACAAAGAAAAAAAAATTTGGTAAAAAATTGTTCCAGTTATGAATTTTTTTTTGCTTTTTTTAAATTTTCGGTTTTCTCATAATGGAAGTGGGAATACTGACCATTAAATAAAAAAATTCGTAATGGGCACAATTCAAAGAGCAATAATCCCTATTTAACTTAACCCAAGAAAAAATATTTGATTCCAAATATTTAATTTCGAAAAGAGTAAAAAAAAATCAAAACCCGCGGTTCGACAGGACCGCGGGTACACAAATGTACATAAATAAATAAATAATACGAATAATTTTCTACCATTTTTTTCCTTTATCAGAAATTAAAGAAGGATTATTGCATTTTAAAATTTGACCGTTGTGAATTTTTTTAATAAATTTTTAATAGCCAGTATTCCCACTTCCGTTATTAGAAAACCGAGAAATATGAAAAAGTAAAAAAAACCATAATTGGAACAATTTTTGATCAAATTTTTTTTCTTTGACAGAAATTAAAGAATTATTGCTCTGCAAAATGTGACCATTGCGATTAAAAAAAAAATTTTAAACCAGCGTTCTTACCCGCCCGGATCAAAAATAAGAAAAATTTAAAAAAGTACGAAGAAAATTCATAACTCGAACAATTTTTGACTAAATTTTTTTTTCTTTATCACAATTTAAAGAGGGATTATTGCTTTTCAAATTATGATAATTGCGAATTTTGTGTAATAAATTTTTAATAGACAGCGTTCAGACCCGCTCGTATTAGAAAAACCGAAAAATTTTAAAAATTAGAAAAAAAAATTTATAACTTGAACAATTTTCGACCAAATTTCTTTTTCAATGTCAGAAATTAAAGAGGAATTATTGCCCTGCAAATGATGACCACTACGAATTTTTTTTAAAAATCTTTTAATAGCCAGCTTTCTCACCTGCCCGTTTCAGAAAACCGAAAAATGTAAAAAAGTAAAAAAAAAATTCGTAACTGAAACAATTTTTTACCAAATTTTATTTTCTTTCTCTGTAATTAAAGAGGGATTATTGCTTTTCAAATTGTGACCATTGCGAATTTTTTTAATAAACTTTTAATAGCCAGTGTTCCCATCCGCCCGTATCAGAAAACTGAAAAATGTGAAAATTCAAAAAAATTCAAATGTCGATAAAATTTAAATCCGAGCTAATCTAGCAAAACTGAAATAGGTTTTTGCTAGTTTTGATAAGTACTTTCAGAAACTGAAGTCAAAACTTAGTGCACATTCGATGACCTCAAAAATGTTGCACTGTGTTATCAAAATTTTTGTTTAAAAATTGATTTCTTTTGGAAAATTTTATTAAAATAGTAGAATATTAAAAATCATTGAAATAAGAAAATTTTTTAAAAGTATGTAATTGAAATTTTGATGTAAATTTTATTAAAATTTTAAAAATAATTAAATTTTGCAATAAATTCTATTAAATTTCCAGAAAATAATTGATTTTGACCAAGAATTTCGCTCTTCATTTATAAATATAATGAAAATGTTGAGGACAATTTTTTTAGACTTTTTGAAAATAATTGAATTTCAGTGAAGAAGTTTATGAGTTTTGGAAATACTTGAATTCTTGGTACGATTGATAATATCAATTATTTTATAAAATCAATTAAAGTAGGAGAAAATCATGATTTTATAAAAATTACCAAAAAATTATGGGCATGAAAAAAATTTAAATTTTGTCCGAAAAAGGTAAAAACAGAGAGAAGCAAAATGAAATTATTTTGTAACAATCCTGATTGTAAAACGGGCTTCAATCTTTAAATATTTTACTTATTACCATTCAAAACAGTTCTTTTTGCAGCTCTCGGTACGGTGATGTCTTGAGTCATCTCATCAGCACTCTCGGCAACAGGTTCAATTGTTACTGCTTTCCTTGCATTACGATTTTTCTTCGGAGACATGTTTCCTGAAAAATATTTGTTTAAATATTTTTCATAATTAAAATAAATTTAATTTAGCATCTGATAAAGATTTTAATTAATTTAAATTTAGGTCGATTAAATTTAAAGTTTAATAATAATCAGGCTTCTTCAAGAAATTCGTTTAAAATAATGGATATACAAATTATTAAATTAAGAAACATTTTTTAAATAATTAAATTTTTGCAATGAATTTTATTAAAAAAATTATGATGAAACAAAATGAATTTTTATCCCACATGCACAAAAACGGCGCTTTCTGATAGCATCCGACAGGGAGGAAAGTCATTCATTTCTTCGACCATATGAAAATGGCGGCCGTGTTCTCCCAAGGGCAAGAAAATTAGCTGTTCACATGCATTTTTCTTGCCCAAGGGAGAAATCGGCCGCCATTTTCATACAAATCGAACAAGTAAATGACTTTTACTCCCTGTCGTCTGCTATCTGAAATCGCCGCTTTTGTGCATTAGGAATAAAAAATATCGTAAGTAACACGAGAATAAAGGCAGCCAATTTCTTTACAATGATTTTTGTGACACTCGTTCCGGTCTCGGGGCGCCCTCGACCTCCACTCGTGTCACAAAAATCACCGTAAAGAAATGGCTGCCTTTCTCCTCTTGTTGCTTAATATACTATTTAGTACTTTTAAAAATAATTTAATTCTTGCGATTAAAATTGTTATTCGCATGAAAATAATTGACTTTCTCTAATTGATTTTATTATTAAATTCCTTAAAGGAAATTTAAAATTAATGAAAATAATTGAACTAGTGCAAAGAATTTAATGGCAAATTAAATAATTTTTTTTTAATGATATAAATTCTATTTTTACCAATTAAATTCCCGTGAAATTTTTATTTTTTAGGAAATTAATAAAGTTCGTGTAGAATTTTATCAAAACTTTTGTTTAATAATTGACTTTTTTTGGAAAATTTTATTATAATAGTTGAATATTGAAAATCATTAAAATAAGAAAATTTTTTTAAAGTAATTGAAATTTTGCTATGAATTTAATTAAAATTTTTAAAATAATAGAATTTTATTACTTTCAAAAATAATTAAATTCTTGTGATAAATACTATTATTTAAGAAAATAATTGAATTTTGCAATGAATTCTATTAAAATTCCTGAAATTAATTAAATGTTGTACAATATTTTCACTATTCATTTATAAAAATAATTTAAATGTTAACGGCAATTTTTTTTAGATTTTTTGAAAATAATTAAATTATGGGCAGAGTAGTAGAGCTAGGAGACTTCTGGACCACTTACCTACAGTCGGTAAGGTAGATTTCTTAATTTCGTACTTTCAAGTGGCTTAGAGGGGGTGTTCTACCTTACCGACCGAGTTTTTAGTACCGGCTGCCACCCCTAGATGGCGCCACTTAATTTTTGCTCAACTTAAAAGCCGTTAGTGGGGTATTTGAAATTTTTTTCGTACTTTCAAGTGGCTTAGAGAGAGTGTTCTACCTTACCGACCGAGTTTTTAGTACCGGCTGCCACCGCTAGATGGCGCCACTTAATTTTTGCTCAACTTAAAAGCCGTTGGTAGGGTATTTGAAATTTTTTTTCAAAGTTTAAAGTGGCTTAGAAGGGGTGTTCTACATTACCGACCTTGATGATAATACTGGTATAAAAATGTCGATAAATTATCGACTGTAGATAAGTTATCGACCGAGGGTAAGCATTACTATCAGTCGGTAATACAGATTTCTTCAACAAATTTTGGTCCGGTCGGTACGTCAGGGTTCTGCATTACCGACAGTTGGTCTTATTTGATTATGGTAACTTCAAGTTATTCCAGTAGTTGGCGTTTGCAATATTGTGGTAGGAGAGTTGCGCGCGACTATGGAGTAGTGGGGGTCTACCGGAGTGGGGTGGTAAGTATAGTGGGGACTGGTGTATAAGTTACGGAGCGCGAGCCAGAAGCATTAGTGGCTTCTTTTCAGGAGCAACAGCAACAGCAGTATACAGTTTAGAGTCGTTTTCAGTGTTTCCAGAGTGCTTTTCATAATTATTTTTTATTTTTTATCAATTTCAGGTTTTTAGGTGCTTTTTTTGTTTTTTTTTGGTGGTGGATTTTCTTTTACAGGGTTTTTTTATTTTTATTTTATTCTTTCAGCTTTAGGTTTTTTTTATTTTTGTTTTATTCCTTTTATTCTTTTAGCTTTAGGTTTTTTTTATTTTTATTTTAGTTTTATTCCTTTTTTTTATACTTAGGTTTTTAGGCTTAGGTTCAACATGTCGAAGATCAAATCAGTGAAAAAAAAATCGCGACATCGAATGAGTGTGGATGAGTACAACGAATTGTGTCGTGAGTCAGACAACCTCATCAACATCGCTGAACGTCAACTCATCACCACAATGGGAATGACAGGTGAGGATAAACTTATTAGTGCATTCGAATGGCAAAACAAGTGTCAACGTAACAAAAATATTTTGAAATTATTTTTAAGAAATTCTGATTCTTTGCCTTATCAGAAATCAAGATGTTTAAACCTAACTCAAAAGTTGGAATACTTGTTTTGCAATTTTAATGCTTTACTGAAACGTGGTGCAGGTGTACAAATGGAGAATGAAAGAATGAAGTGGGTTGATTTTGATAAGGCATTTGATGGTCGTTTACAGACTAGTGCTATTTTAAATATTGACTACATTGACGTTAACGAGTTTCTTGATGATGCCTTTGTTTTGTTTGAATTTAACATACGAAAAGCTTTAGATAAATATGGGCCGCTAAAAGTGTATACTGTGTTGGGCGCGAAATTTATAAAAGAGTCGATAAACGGAAAGGAAGAAATGTCTGATCTTAAGACATTTATCGCGAAAACGGGTGAAATATTTGTAACAACCCACTTAGATGAGTGGTACAATGGTAATGTTAAACAAATAACTTTGAAAAGTATGGAAGAATTCCAACAGAAAGAATCGAATTGGAGACTTCATTCTATTCAAAGGCTGGAGGTTAACATTAACAGTTATAATCCCATGCAAGCTGGTTCATATATCGATTTACCACCTTCCATTAAAAGAAAACACTCTTGCATTAATGTACAGAATGCTGATCAGCAATGCTTTAAATGGTCAATTTTTTCAGCTTTACATCCAGTTGAAAACCATGCAGACCGAGTTTCAAAATATACGCGTTATGAAGATGAGCTTAATTTTACTGGAATTCAGTTTCCTGTTGCTCTCAAAGATGTTTCAAAATTTGAGGCACAGAACAACATTTCAGTGAATGTGTATGGACTCATCAAGAGAGATGAAAAGTTTACGGTTGCTCCATTACATTTGTCATCGCAAAAGAAGGTTATTCATGTAAATCTTCTTCGAGTTAAAGACCACTACATTGATGAAAATCTTAAGAGTAAGGAGGAGGAGGAGGACGATCAAAAAATCATCTCTTTCAACTACCATTATGTGTACATTAAAAATTTATCCAGACTTGTTAGCACTCAATTGTCAGGTCATAGGGGTAAAAAGCACATCTGTGATCGTTGCCTGCATTATTTTAGAGATGAACTTAAGCTAACTTACCATGAAGAGATCTGTCAAAAGATGAACGTTACGAGTATTAAGCTTCCTGAACCAGGGAAAAATTTCGTTGAATTTAAAAATTATCAAAACAAGGAACGTGTGCCATTCATCATTTATGCAGACTGTGAAAGTATCCTGATTCCTGCGGAGGCACCACAACAACCTAGTAATACTGAGATTTTTCAAAATCACAAAACTCTCAGTATTGGCTATTATTTAAAGTGTGGTTTTGACAACTCCTTGTCCATATATAAAGCATCTCCAAGAGATGAAGAAAATCCGGCTAAATGGTTTTCAACTGAATTAAAAAATGTGGTTGACAATCTTGACAATTTATTTAAGAATCCTGTACCAATGGAAGTGTTAAGTCGACAGCAACTAGATGATTTTAGATATGCCAGTAAATGTCATATTTGTAGAAATAAAATCAAGCCTGGGGATGTAAAAGTACGAGACCACTGTCATCTAACAGGGAAGTATCAGGGACCCGCGCATCAAGATTGCAATATTAATTATCATGAATCGCAAATAATACCTGTTGTTTTTCATAACCTTAGCGGGTATGACGCGCATTTTATTATCGAAGCTATTGCTACAGAATTTGAGGGTGATGTTTGTTTGCTTCCTCTTAACAAAGAAAAGTATATCAGTTTCACGAAAAGTGTGAAAGGTAGTTGCATCAAGTTCCGCTTTATCGATTCTTTTAAATTCATGGCATCATCATTGGACAAGTTAGCATCCTACCTCGATGAATATAAAATTGTAAACACAGTTTTTTCCAATTACAGTGCTGATAAAATAAAATTGTTAACGCGAAAAGGAGTTTTTCCTTACGAGTATATTGACTCAAAGGAAAAACTTGATGAAATTAAGTTACCACCAAAAGAAAAATTTTATAGCACATTAAACGACTCAAATGTCTGATGAGGATTATGCACATGCGCAAAATGTGTGGACTGAGTTTGATTGTCAAAATTTGGGTGATTATGTGTACCTGTATATGCAAACCGATATTTTGTTACTCGCGGACATTTTTGAAAATTTTAGAAATCAATGTTTAATCTCGTACGGTCTCGATCCAGCCCATTACTACACGACACCGGGATTGACATGGGATGCCATGTTAAAGCATACGAATATAAGATTAGAGCTCCTCACTGACATCGATATGGTAATGTTTGTCGAACGCGGAATTAGAGGTGGAGTAAGTCAATGCACCAATCGGTATGCTAAAGCTAATAATCATTATATGAAGGAATATAATGAAAGTGAGGGGACATCTTATATCGTATACTTTGATGCAAATAACCTCTACGGTTGGGCAATGATCCAGTCACTTCCCTATGGTGGCTTCGAGTGGATTGAAAATTTTGACAATAGCTTTGATTTCAACGTCTCTGATGACGAGGCGATTGGCTATATTTTAGAAGTTGATTTGGATTACCCCGAT